TCTTTCCCTCCTTCCCTTCCTCTCTTTCTTCCTTCCTTCCTCCCCCCTCCCTCCCTCCTCAATCTATTTGCTTTCTTTGTTTCTCTCTTTCTCCCTTTCATTGTTTCTTTCCACCTCTCATCTCTCAGACAAATATCATTAGCAAACAAATAAATGGCATTGGACAAATAAATGTCATTATCAATATCTGTTTTACCCCTTTTGTTTTTATTTTTGGCAGTCTCATATAATGTTAATAAAAAGCAAGTCTGCGTATTTTTAAATAAAAACGTATGGTTAATATTTGTTCATGTCTTGCGGCTCTCAGACAGCTAACATTTATTCTATGTGGCTCTTACGTTAAGCAAGTTTGGCCACCCCTGGGCTAGGATTCGGGAGACACAGCATTAAATCTCCACACTGCCATGAAAGCCTGCCAAGTGACCTTGGGCCAGTCACGCACTCTCAGCCAGATCTTTTCACTGGAGATGCCGGGAATTGAACCGGGGACCTTCTGCATGTCAAGCAGATGCTCTACCACAGAGCCACCCTTAACTCATTAGGGAAAAGTCAAGCCAAAACGTAATCAACACCATCCGTTCCACCAAAGTAACCATGTACTCCGAACATGTGGTGTCGCAATCAGACTAGGAAAACCTGGGTTCAGACCTCCCTACAGCTAGGAAGCCCACCAGGTGGCCTTACGGTAGTTATTATGTCTCAGCCTAATCTACCTCTTAGGGAGGGAGGGAGGGAGAGAGAGAGAACCGGGCATGGGATGTAGGTTTGGGAGGACAAGGACATTGTCTTGGTAGGGGCAGAAGAGGCAGGGCTGTAGGAACAGTGAATCTGCGTGGCAAACCCGGAATTCACTACTCCTGCCTGGAGATTGGGAACCAGAGTGAGTGAGTGCAGAAGTGCACAAGGTAACATCTGCTGACTTCAGAGAGAGAAGCAAACTGGCAGAGAGTCGGGGAGAGATAAGACGGTGAACTGTCTTCACAACACATTCCTGAATATAATAGCTCATCATAGTGGGGTGACTATGTAACTTTCGATGTATAAGGGAGGGGGAAGGAGTGAAGGGAATGGAATAAAGCCCTGCTGCTCCAGGTGGGAGTCAGACAGATTTCTGCACAGGGCGGCTCACAAACGTCACCGACTGATCTGAAATCGCTAGACAAAACTTGGACTGCATTTCTTAAACCTTAACTTTCCTTTTTTGGTAAATGTTCACACCTTGCTGCCCCCTGCCTTTTCTGCTGCCCTAGCAAGATGCACAGCATACGCATGAAGCTGCCTTATACTGAATCAGACCCTTGGTCCATCAAGGTCAGCACTGTCTACTCCGACTGGCAGCAGCCCTCCAACGTCTCAGGCAGAGGGTCCTTCACATCACCCACTGCCTGGTCCTTTTAACTGGAATTGCTGTGGATTGAACTGGAGACCTTCTGCACGCCAGACAGATGCTCTGCCACTGAGTCATGGCCCCTCCCCAAACAGAGCCTTGATCCATCAAGGTCAAAATTGTCTACTCCAACTGGCAGCGGCCCTCCAGGGTCTCAGGCGGAGGTCTTTCACATCACCAACTGCCTGATCCTTTAACTGGTGATACCAGGGATTGAACCTGCGACCTTCAGCACGTCGAGCTGATGCTCTGCCACTGGGCCACGGCCCCTCCCCAAGCCGTCCTTCCCTGGGGCAATGCCTCTTTACCTCCGTGCCGGGGGCTCCTGGCCACTCTCTTCCGCCGCCTGACTCTGCCCTGCTGCTCCTGCTCCTTCACCAGCTCTCTCAGCATCTTCTCCACCTGCGCCTTGCCCACGGTCTGCAGGATCACCCCCAGCTGCCTCCGGAAGTCCGGCAGGATCCCTTCTTCGCTGGAGCCAGCAGTGGTGGCAGCGGCTGCGGCGGCTTGGCCTTGCGTGGGCGCCAGCTGCCCTTGCTCTGGCTCCATTTCTAGCCCTGTAAAGGAGGAAGGGAAGAGAAAGAAAAGAACACCTGGCACCTGTCTCGCTGCTCCCTGCTCTGCCCATGAAATCCTATAATGAGGCAGGCTCAGTTCGTGTTCTTTTTTTTCTGTTTCCAAAATTAACTGTAAAAAGGATTTGGGGGGGTGGGCGGGAGCTAGGGTTGCCACCTCTCCTCTGGCACTGGCGGGGGATGGGGGTGTCAGGTTGCCAGCTCCGGGTGGGGGAACGACTGGAGATTTGGGGGTGGAGCCTGGGGAGGACAGGGACCTCAGTGGGGTACACAATGCCCGAGAGTCCACCCTCCAAAGCATCCATTTTCCCCAGGGGAACCGATTTTTGTAGTCTGGAGATGAGCTGTAATTCCGGGAGATCCCCAGGTCCCACCTGGAGGCTGGCATCCCAAGGTGGAGCTGGAAGACCTGTGCTACCAGGGTTACTGGTAGGGCCACCAGCTCTGGGTTGGGAAATACCTAGATATTTTGGGGGTTGGGGAAGGGAGGGACCTCAGCCGGGTGCAGTGTGCCATAGACTCCACCCTCCAAAGCAGCCATTTCCTCCCGGGGAGCTGATCTCTGTTGTCTGGAGGTCTGTTGTAACAGTGGGAGATCTCCAGGCCCCACCTGCAGGTTGGCAACCCCAGGTACAGGTCAGAGGAGGGAACTCCATGGGATGCTGACATCACAGACCGCCCCCCCTCCAGATCCTGAGAAGCAGGCAAGCCCAGAGAGCCAACCCAGCTTCACTGCCGGCTGTACATCACCATGCTTGGCTGGATCCTGGGGAAATTATTGCCGAGGAAAGCTACAGGCTGGTGGCTTTTCTGCCAACCTGCCCTCTCTCTACCCCACGTTTTTCTCACCTCTAGCCGGACAGCGAGGGCAAAATGACAGGACAGCATCCTTGTGGCTGCCACAAAGATGCTGCCGCCATTTTGAACTGATTTAAAACGCCGCAAGGACCCAAAACAGCTATGCCCACCTCCCCTGGAAAACATGCAAGGAGGGGAAACCGGAGTGCTGCGCTGTAGCACTTTTCAAGCACTTTAAAATGGCGGCAATGTCTTTGTGGCTGCCACGAGGTGGCTGTCATGTCTGGTTTGGCCCTGAGCTCCGGCTTCATGCTCAATACTGGTTGGGAGGCGGAAGCATCCGACTGAAGGGGAAGAGCTATAATCTCTTTCAGGATATAGAGAAGAAGAGGAAGAGGAAGAAGAAAAGATTGGATTTATACCCTGCCCTTCACTACCCGAAGGAGTTTCGGAGTGGGTTACAAACTCCTTTCCCTTCCCCTCCCCACAACAGACACCCTGTGAGGCAGGTGGGGCTGAGAGAGCTCTTTCGAGAACTACTCGTGAGAGAACAGCTCTGAGAGAACTTGTCACCGATCCAAGGTCACACCAGCAGCTGCATGTGGAGGAGTGGGGAATCAAGCCCGGTTCTCCTAGATTAGAGTCCACGCTCCTAACCACTGCACCAAACTGGTTCTACTACACCAAGGGGGAACTAGGCTCTGTGAAACACTTCCCATGCTGGGGGGAGTGTTTCTTCGCTGCAAAGGACTTACCAGGAGCCAGGCCTCGCCGCCCTCTGGTCTCTGTGAAGGCCGTTATGCGGGGCCAACTGATGGCGATTTCTTCTGCTAAGAGAAGGAGTGCAGGAGACGGGTTGGTGAAGCCACAGAAGAGGCTCGCAAAGGAGACGACAGAACAGGGAGGGGTGGGAAAGCAACTTTGAAATGGCCATAAAAAACCCCAACAGCTGTACAAAAAGGTGTACATAGAACATATTTCCTCCAGGGGAAGAAGTAGCTGAGTCGACTTTGTTGTGGGAGCGGGTAGGATTTCCTGCTAAGCCTTTTGTTCCCCCACCTTTCTGGCACAGTACATTAAGGCCCTCCGGTATGGGTTAGAATTTTTAAAGACCTACACATGGTTGGAGAACCTCATTCAGTCATTCCGCCCTCTACCTCAGCAACAGGTAGAAGCTGTCGCTGCTCCAGTCAGGCCAGGCCAGGCCACCCCTCTGAAGCAGCCTCTGCCTGCTGAGCCTGTCTGTATTTATTTATTTCCTTCATTTACACTGTGACGTTCTCCCCAGTGGGGGCCCAGGGGGGCTTACATCATTCTCCTCTCCTCCATTTTATCCTCACAACAACCCTGTGAGGGAGGTTAGCCTGAGAGCAGGTGACTGGCCCAAGGTCACCCAGCAAGCTTCCACGGCAGAACTGGGATTCGAACCTGGGTCTCCCCGATCCTAGACCGACACTCTGACTACTACACCACCGGGGAGCGTGAATGAGCAGTGCAGAGATCTTCTGTGGCTGGCAGGCTTGAACTGACAATGACCCCCCTCCCCCGGCAACATGGTCTCGGGGCAGGAAAATGAATCTCGCTCGGGAGGTCCAGGCCGGAAGGTTTAGATCTAATACAAGAACAAAGTAGTATATTGAAGGGTTTGGCCCGGTCTCTCAGATTGCTTGGTAAACATATATATTATTTAAAATGTCACTCGGTCAATCATAGACACTTTCAGAACTTTTTAGAACGCCTCGAAGAAAATCAAATATTCTGAAATTCCACAGGTTGCCCTCTGCTTCACCAGGAGATGGGCCTTATTCTGGGCGGGGAAGAGCTCTCTTCTAGCTTTGCTTGCAAATCAGTCTGTCCCTTGCATTAAAAAGTGGAGGTTATATTGTAGGAAGCGATCAGTGTTGGAGACAGAGTCTTCCCCAGATCGCAAGGGGGTAGAGATATCAGGATAGTTTATATCAAGTTCTTTCTAAGTAGGCTTGCCCGCTCTGAGTTCAGAAATATCTGGAGATTTGGGGGTGGAGTTTGGGGCCGGGAGGGACTTGACCAGAGTAGAAAGCTAACTGATCTCCATTGTCTGGAGACCAGCTGTAATCCCGACAGCCACCACCTGGAAGTTGTATCAATATAAAGACGCTCCGTGAATGAATTACGAACAAAAGCAGAAAGATTATATTGTACAAAACAGTTTTAAATCTTTGTTAAAGTTCAACAAACCCTTATATATTCTTAAAGAGCTAGGATCAAAAAGTACTTGATACAAAGGATACAACTGGGGATGTAGTCAATATGTTATAGCATAGTGGATGTGACATAGAAGTATATTTTCAGTTTCACAGCTAAAGAGTACCAGCTATCTGAAGAAGGAGAACGTGAACACGGTAGTGAAGCCAGCCATGTATAGCTGCTGCTCATGCAAGAAGTAGAACCTTTGTTCTCCTGAAGTTTTTTATACAATGATTTGTGGACTTCATTTGAGATTTTCCTTTGTATCAAGTACTTTTTGATCCTAGCTCTTTAAGAATATATAAGGGTTTGTTGAACTTTAACAAAGATTTAAAACTGTTTGAATTGTTTTGTACAATATAATCTTTCTGCTTTTGTTGGTAATTCATTCATGGAGTGTCTTTATATTGATACAATCTCCTCCCATGAGCTCTCATTTTGATATACCACCTGGAAGTTGGCAACCCTATTTTGTGAAAGGACATTCTCCTAGTGAAAAAGAAGAGAAGAAGAGATTGGATTTATACCCCGCCCTTCACTACCCAAAGGAGTCTCAGAGTGGCTTACAAACTCCTTTCCCTTCCCTTCCCCTCCCCACCACAGACACCCTGTGAGGTAGGTGGGGCTGAGAAAGCTCTGACAGAAAATGTTCTTTTTCAAGAACAGCTATGCCAGAACTACAGCTTGCCCAAAGTCATCCAGCAGGTGTGAGCGGAGGAGTGGGGAATCAACCCCGGTTCTCCCAGATTAGAGTCCGCGCACTTAACCACTACACCAAACTGGTGTAGTTCTTAAGCTGTGTCCTTGGGGAAGATTACTGAGGCTCCCCAATGAAAAGAACAATAAAGACTGCTGGCAATCCATTCCAGGGAGGACAGAGGGTGTGTTCTAGGCCAGTGGCCCTCAAACTGTGGATCAGGACCCAGAAGTGGCTAGCAACTCTCTCAGAGGCGGCTCACAAAGCCAGGAGGGAAGAGGAGGGAGAGGAGAGTCTGGGAGGCTGAATGGCACATTTGTCTTTGCCTTTCCGCCATGTGTGAAACGGCCATGAAACAGTCAGTTGCTCAATAATGGCCATGAAACAGTCAGTTGCTCAATATTTATAAATTTTTGTTGTTGTTTTTGCCCTCAGGTCAGAGGTGACTTAAGGCAACCCCAAAGGGCTTTCAAGGCAAGAGACGTTCAGAGGTGGTTTGCCATTGCCTGCTTCTGCGTAGCAACCCTGGACTTCCTTGGTGGTCTCCCACCGGGCTGATCCTGCTTAGCTTCAGAGAGCTGACAAGATCAGGCTAGCCTGGGCTATCCAGGTCAAAGCAATCTATACACTTTATAAATACTTAACATGAAAAGTAAAGTATGAACGTTTATCGTTAACTGATGTGAGATTTCTGCACTTTATGTCGAGGAGGGGGAAAGCAGAGTTCCTTTGCATGTGGTTTACAAGAACCACTGTTTTAGGCTATGTGTTTAGGTCACACATGTCTACCGAGAGGCCCAATGGGCTACGACTAGTGCCCAAAATGAACTGTATGCATTCCAACAAAGGTTTATTCAAGGTATGAGCTTTTGTGTGCATGCACACTTTTTCAAATACATTGGAATGGCAGGTAAGGTAAATACATTCCGATGTATTTGGAAAAGTGTGCCACGCACACGAAAGCTCATACCCTGAATAAAACTTTGTTGGTCTTAAAGGTATCACTGAACTCTAAATTTGTTCTGCTGCTTCAGACCAACACAGAACAAACTGTACCCCAGAGCATGTCACAGAATCGTCTGCAAAATTCAAGGGATAATTCTCAGGATCTCCTCCACAGACAAGTGCATGCAAGAAAGTGCTTCCTGGAAGCAGAAAATCTTTGAAAAGCATTGCTATGGATGGACTGTTTTATCATTATATCTAGTAGACCCATGAGCAGTGTTTTCTCTAAGCTGAGTTAGTGTGAGCTCACAGGTTTTTAGCCTCCAGCTCACACGTTTTCGCCTCAGCTCAGAAAGGATGGTTCCAGAGCAAACTAATTTATGCAGCAGCCAAACGGCTCGCTCACAACTTTAATGCCAGTCGCTCACAAATTAGAATTTTTGCTCACGAGACTCCACAGCTCAGAGGGAGCATTGCCCACAAGGTTGCCTAGCACTAAGTCATCCTGTTGGTCTGTCGAGGTCTGCCTTCTTTACTCTGACTAGCAGTGGCTCTCCAGAGCATGGGGTTAGGGGACTTTCACATTACTTGCCACTTGATCTTTTTAACTGGAAATACTGGGGATTGAACCTTGGTGTCAGCTACGCTGCCGTGAGTCTCCCACGCGTGGGAGCCCACCTAATTGGTCATTACTGGGGGGGGGGCGCATATAAATGCCCTATATCCTATTATGCGCACAGGTAGCCCGCCATTCCTAACAGTGTTCATGTTATTGCATCTATGGCTTTTCAATAAAAGTAAAACCTTCCTGGAAGCGTGTACTTCGTTGTTTAGCTGTGGGTCCTGACACTTGGAAGTTTCTGCATGCCAAGCAGATGTTCTACCACTGAGCCATGCCAACCCCCCCCAACGTAATCAAGAGCTGGCCCTGATGCTGATTTTTTAAAGACTGCAACACTAGCCTAGCCCTGGCTACAAATTAAAGTGCTAAAAGCCTGCTGAGGAAGGGAAGCCGGTTCCAGCTCGCCTTCCTCCTTTGCGGTGCGGGTGCAGGCAGAGAGGTGAGCAGATAGGTAGGCAAGAGGGAAGCCGAAGGAAGCATGGGAGGGAGCAGGTGGGGGAAAGCTGTGAGAGGCAGAGACAAGGTGGGGGTCAGTGGGGGGGGAAAGGGATGTCTCCTCCCCGCTCCTCTTAGCGGGTCTCCACTTGTTTCTCCCACTGAGCTTCATTTTAGGCATTAACGCTTGTCTCAAATTCGTACGGTGGGTCATAGTCAAAGACACAAACCATGGGGAAAGTTTTAGCCTTGTTCGGGACAATACCGCTGCGGTGGGGGTGGGAAGCGCCATAAAGTCACGGCTGACGTACGGTGACCCCGTTGGGTTCTCAAGGCAAGGGACCTTCAGAGGTGGTTTGCCGTTGCCTGCCTCTGCACAGCAACCCCCGGTATTAATATGTTGTCGAAGGCTTTCACGGCAGGAGTTCTTAGCTGTTGTAGGTTTTCCAGGTTGCATGGCCGTGGTCTTGGCACTGGAGGACCTGACATTTCGCCAGCAGCTGTGACTGGCATCCTCAGACATATAACACAGAAAGATGGAGGACTCTCTGTGTCAAGGTGAGAAGAAAAATGGCAGGCAGGTAATTTATATCTACTCAGGAAGGTGGGGTAGGGCTGAGTCATTATCTTGTAGGAGTTCCCCAGGCTGTGAACATCCTAATGGAGGAGCTTTCCTGAGGAGGTTCTTTTTATTATGGATTGTTTCCTGAGGAGGTTCTTTTGCATGTGGACCCTGGTATTGCTTGGATGTCTTCCCATCCAAATACAAGCCAGGGCCGACCCTGCTTAGCTTCCGAGATCTGACGAGATCAGGCTTGCCTGGGCTACCCAGGTTGGGGGCAATTCTGCTGCGCTATACTAAAAACGTGACCACTCTGGAATTTTGCTGAGACTGCTACACTGCGCTAGAGCTTAAATTTGGTCCTGCACTTGGGCATCACCGACCATGGGGGCAAAGCAGCCAATCAGGTCAACATTTCACTCTGCGGCACGCATTCGTTGAACAGTGGCTGCCCAGGTTGGCACCTTATGTTCTACGAAGCAAGCGTCTTCACACCCCCTCCAGCACAGGACTCCTTCTTTATGACCTGTCAACGTAAGTAGCTGAAATTCAGGTTATAGTTCAACACACGTTTGGAGACGCGTTTTCCCTTACCCAGCGAGATCACGGTTTCGTAGCTCTCCTGCATGTTGACCCACAGAACCACCCTTTTCTAGGCGCTCCCCGACGTCTTCTCCCCTCCTGCAGAGAGGCGGCTGTCTGCTCCTGTGTAAATAAAAAGGTAAGGCTCATTTGTGCCACAGAATCTGTTTCACCCGTGGCAAGGTGGTCTGGGCAATGAACTTGAACGTGTGGCAGAACGAAATAGCAGTGTGTGAACGTTGTTGTGTGCCAATAAGTTTTTTTAAAAAGGAACTGGTCTAAACCAAGCAACAAGGCTCCAAGTAGGGCCAACGTATTAACCGGGAATATTGTACTGCCGCATCCTTTGGGAAGAGGTGTGAAACAAGACATGCCCACACTGATTGAGGTAATTATGGCTGTTCCTCCTGGCATGTTCACTAATGGTTTGTGGACACGTACGGCATGCATGCGGCCACACACCCAGACTACAAGATTGGTGCTTGCTCTGGTTAATCTTAACCACGTGCCATCATAAAGATCTGCAAAGGGTTTGAACACAGAATCATGCCGCAAATTATTGCAAGTATTAGTCCACAGAAACGCACCACATTAGCAAAACGTGTTGCAGAACCCTACCAAGAGCCTGTGCATTTGTAGATTTCTCTTTCTTTTTTGGGTATACATCTCAGATTGTTTTAAAGCACTCAGGTGAAATGCATAGTGTGAATGTGACACGAGGTTTCAAATGTGTGCTCATCACACAGGAGTACCTGTCAGTGACTTGAGACTGACTACACATGGCGTCGCGGCTAAAGTGTTGGACTAGGAGGAGCTGGGAAATCCAGGTTCGACTCCCCACTGGGAAGCCTGCTGGGTGGGGCAGTCACACTCTCTCAGCCTAACCTACCTCTCAGGATTGTTGTGAGGATAAAACAGAGGACAGGAGAGTGTTGCACACCGCTTTTGGTTCCCATCAGGGAGAACAGCAGAGTACAAATAAAGTAAGTAAATAAACAAGGTTCCCTCTGAGCATACACTGGGTGGCAAACCCTGGTTTCCTACTCCATAATGTGTGAAATGGCTCTTAAATCTGACTGTAACATTATTTACAATTTAGTTCATGGTCCAAACGCCTCTCCTCAGGGCTAGGGTTGACAGGACACACACACACCCGCCACTGGCAGGGGGTGGGGGGACAGTGTTCCCTCTAAGCTGAGTTAGTGTGAGCTAGCTCACAGTTTTTTAGCCTCTGGCTCACACATTTTTGTCTTAGCTCAGGAAGGATGGCTCCAGAGCAGACTAATTGATGCAGCAGCCAAATCGCTTGCTCACAACTTTAATGCCAGTGGCTCACAAAGTAAAAATTTTGCTCACAAGACTCCATAGCTTAGCGGGAGCATTGGTGAGGGGGGTTAGGGTTGACAGATCCTGAAGATTTGGGGATGGAGCCTGGGGAGGACAGGGACCTCAGTGGGGTACAATGCCCCAAAGTCCACCCTCCAAAGCATCCATTTTCTCCGGGGGAACTGAGCTATGTCGTCTGGAAATGAGCTGTAATTCCAGGGGGATCCCCAGGTCCCACCTGGAGACTGGCATCCCTAACCAGGGTTGTTTACTGAGGGTTAAAAACACAGGCCTATTTTTAAAAATGGATATACCTGGGGGGGGGGGGGGAAAAAAACCCCTCCCCCTCAGAGCACAACCCGGATTCCAGAGGGCGCAGGGAAAGGTAACACAATGGCCAGTTTAGTCCTGCCCAAACTCTCGCGGACTAGGAAGACAGGCTTTCCCCGAGCCGGGAAGCCGGATGACCCTCCAGAACCCAGGCCAGGCGCGGGCACTGATTCAACATCACGGTGGGGAAAGAAACAACCACAGAAGGGGAACGAGCCCCGTCTGGGCGCACATGGACGGGTGTTTCCGACAAAGAAGGGGAGATAATCGGGAAGGAAGGAAGGAAGGAAGGAAGGAAGGAAGGAAGGAAGGGGGGACACTTTGTGGGAGAGGCTGCCTGTTGGAATCGGGAGCAGCGGGCGGAACAATCGCCGGGAACCGGCGGAACCCGCTTCTTCCCACCACCACCCCCGGTCCGCCCGTTCTAGGGGTAGGCTCCGCGCACGGCCCCGGGGGTGGTCCCGGCGGGAAACGATTGCATCGCATCGCATCGCATGGATGGCCGCCCCCCTCCCTGCACCGCCCGGGTCCGTCCCTGCCCCCCGTCCTATTGTTTCCTCCTTGCGCCCCGGACCTTGCCGAAAAGGCGGCGTCGGGAGAGAATCGCCCAGGCCGGGGCGCTCTTGGCTGGCGCCCCCGCCCCCTCCTTGCGCCCCGGCGCCGACTTCCTCCCCCCAAGTCGCTTTACCTGCAGCTCGCCCGAGATTGCGGCGCGCGGCCTGGCCGGCGACGGTGATGGCCGAGGAGGAGGAGGAGGGAGGGAGGGATCCTGGGCCCCCCTGCAGGGAGCTGGGAGGGAGGGGGGAGCAGCTGCAGAACCCAGGAAGCTCAAGCCCACATCCTGGCGGCTGGAGACGAGAACGAAAGAGAAGGACCTCCCTTCTCCGCCAGCCACCAAGCGGGGCCCTCTGGTGGCCGACCGGCCGCTTCAGTCCACCAGGAAGGCCCTCCCCTGGTCCGGGGCCAGCCTTTGCCCGGAGAGAACCAGCCCTTTGCAGAAATCCCGTCCTGTCGGGTCTGAAGCAGCGGAACAAAGCTCGAGTTCCAGTGGCACCTTGGAGACCAACGGAGATTTAATCTGGCCGTAAGATTTCGTGGGCACGCACAGTTCTTCACCTCTGGAGAATCTAGCTGTTCTAATTTGCAGGGAACAAAGCTGGAGTCCAGTGGCATCCTGAAGACCAACGAAGTTTTATTCGGGATATAAGCTTCCCTGTGCAGGCACACAAAGACCGACAAAGTTTTAGTGTGCACGCACACTTCTTCAGATGCGAAGAAGCTGCGTGCAAACGCGAGTTTATTCCTTGAATAAAATTTTGTTGGTCTTCAAGGTGCCACTGGACTCCAGCTTTGTTCCCTGCAAGCAGAAGAGCTAGGTTCTTCAGATGTGAAGACGTGTGCATGCACACAAAAGCTTATACCTTGAATAAAGCTTCCTCGGTCCAGTAGCACCAACAGTGAATCTGGCTGTTCCACTGCAGACCAGCAGGGCTTCCCCCTGAAACTCCCTGCAAGCAGAACAGCTCGATTCGAGTGCACTTGCACCAGCAGTGAATCTGGCTGTTCCACTGCAGACCAACATGGCTCCCCTCTGAAACTCCCTGCAAGCAGAAACCTAGCACAGCAGGGAGCAGGGGAATCCAAAGCCTTTGAAATCACTGAGCTTTTTAAAAAATTGATGGATCTTGGAAGCTAAGTTGTGTCGGCCCTGGCTACTATTTGGACTGGGGAACACCAAGGAGCATACAGGGCTGCTACGCAGAGGCAGGCAATGGCAAACCACCTCTGAACGCCTCTTGCCTTGAAAACCCTGCCGTATCACCATAAGTCAGCTATGATTTGACAGCGCTTTCCACCACCAGAGACTCAAGAATGACCCCATGGTAGCCAATGCTCCCTCTAAACTGTGGAGTCTTGTGAGCAAAAATTCTACTTTGTGAGCTACTGGCATTAAAGCTGTGAGTGAGCGATGTGGCTACTGCATAAATTAGTTTGCTCTGGAGCCCTCCTTCCTGAGCGAAGACATAAATGAGTGAGCCAGGAGCTAAAAAAACTGTGAGCTAGCTTGCACTAACTCAGCTTAGAGGAAGCACTGGCTGGTAGCTGCATAAGAGTTGTTCAACAGGCTGCCTAGGGAGGTGTTGAGCTCCTCACTGGCAGTCTTCAAGCAGCGACTGGGATGCTTGACAAGCAGCTTGTCAGGGATGCTCTGGGCTGATCCTGCACTGAGTCGGGGGTTGGACTAGATCAGGGGTGACCAAACTTGCTTAACGTAACAGCCACACAGAATAAACGTCAGATGTTTGAGGTCCACAAGACATGAACAAATATTACATACAATGTTCTGTCTAAGCTGTGGAGTCTTGTGAGCAAAAATTCTACTTTGTGAGCTACCGGCATTAAAGTTGTGAGTGAGTGATTTGGCTACTGCATAAATTAGTTTGCTCTGGAGCCATCCTTCCTGAGCTGAGACGAAAATTTGTGAGCCAGAGGCTAAAAAATGGTGAGCTAGCTCACACTAACTCAGCTTAGAGGGAGCACTGGCTGGTAGCGGCTTAAATCCTTTGGCTCTTAGAAAAAGCATTTTCCTGATATTAATCCCAATTAGGTCATCTTTCTTGTTTAAAACAACAGCAGTAAGGAGATGTATTCGACACTGCAACATTATATTAAGGATTATCTCTCCTTATATATAATTGAATAGTGGGTGCCAAAGTTCTAATTCTAAAATGCACTCCCTTAGTGTATGGCTGATGGCACTGCTCCTCAGCATATATCACTACCAATCAGAAGGCAAAGCCCAGGTCCCGCCCACACCACAACTGCTGCTACAACCTGGTCTTTTGCATATGGAAGCTGATTGGACTTCACTCCATTCCACACCTCAAACTCCCCCCCCCCGCAAGGCAGTTGGAATGTCAGTTGCATATGGAATCTGCTGTATTCTGGTGGTGTGCAGGTCCCAGATTCATGTTTTAAAAGCAGACTGACACTGTTTGCCCAAAGCCAGAGCACTCTCCCAGAGCCTCTTTCTAGATCCCGTTGTATTTATTTCCACAACGGGCCTTATTTCTAGTTGTCTATAGTCCGGAAGACCACCATCCAGGGGCAGAATTTGGAGAGAGGCAGCAGGGTATGGTGGCTACGGTGTGGGCGAGGACCTGGGAAAGCCAGGTTTGAATCCTCATTCTGCCAGGGAAGCTCGCTGGGTGACCTTGGGCCAGCCACACACGCTCTGCCTAACCTACCTCACAGGGTTGTTGTGTGGATAAAATGGAGGAGAGGAGCATGATGGAAGCTGCTTTGGGTCCCCATTGGGGAGAAAGGTGGGATATAAAATTTAAAAAATTGAAAAAAACTTTTGATGGTTAACAGTTGGGTGTCGTGGTTGAGAGCACAGACTCTAGTCTGGGAGAACCGGGTTTGATTCCCCACTCCTCTTCCACATGCAGCTGCTGGTGTGACCTTGGGTCATAAGTCCTCTCAGAGCTGTTCTCTCAAGGGCAGTTCTCGAGAGAGCTCTCTCAGCCCCACTTACCTCACAGGGTGTCTGTTGTGGGGAGTGGAAGGGAAAGGAGATTGGAAGCTGCTCTGAGACTCCTTTGGGAGTCCTAAGATTCCCCCCACCTTCGGCTCCAGGTGAGTAGGGCGAAATTTTTTCTTTTACTGAGACCCTGACATGAAAAAGCAATGGGGCAGGGGATCAACCAACCCTCTTCCTGTAGACTATACAGCAACTTGAGCCATGAGGAAAATTAGGGTATGAAGATTCTAGGTTCAAAAGAGGTGGGTTAAAATCTTCCTGCATGGTGCTGTATGGGACCTCATGAGCAACGTGCCGTAGCTTCTGAGTAGGCTACCAATTCCCAAAACCATGCAAAAAAATTGAGACAGGCTGTGTGGATCACAAACCGGATATGGAACAACTGATTGGTTCAGCATAGGAAAAGGAGTACGACAAGGATGTATATTGTCACCTTGCTTATTTAATATATATGCAGAGTACATCATGCGAAATGCTGGCCTGGATGAATCACAAGCGGGAATTAAGATTGCTGGGGAAAAGATCAACAACCTCAGATATGCAGACGATACCACTCTAATGGCAGAAAGTGAAGAGGACCTAAAGAGCCTCTTGCTCAGGGTAAAAGAGGAGAGCGCAAAAGTGGGCTTGAAGCTCAACATCAAAAAAACTAAGATCATGGCATCCGGTCCCATCACTCCTTGGCAAATAGAAGGGGAAGTCATGGAAGTGGTGACAGACTTCACGTTCCTGGGATCCCAGATCACCGCAGACTGTGACAGCAGCCATGAAATTAAAAGACGCCTGCTCCTTGGGAGGAAAGCGATGGCGAACCTAAACAGCATGATAAAAAGTAGAGACATCTCCCTGCCAACAAAAGTCCGCATGGTCAAAGCAATGGTATTCCCAGTAGTCATGTATGGCTGCGAGAGTTGGACTATAAGGAAGGCCGAGCGCCGAAGAATAGATTCTTTTGAACTATGGTGCTGGAGAAGACTCTTGAGAGTCCCTTGGACTGCAAGAAGATCAAATCAGTCAATCCTAAAAGAAATCAACCCTGACTGTTCCCTGGAAGGCCAGATAATGAAACTGAAGCTCAAATACTTTGGCCACCAAATGAGAAGGGAGCACTCACTGGAGAAGACCCTGATGCTGGGAAAGATTGAAGGTCAAAGAAGACGGGGACGGCAAAGGATGAGATGGTTGGACAGTGTCAGCGACGCAACAAACATGAAATTGAGCCAACTTCAGAGGACAGCGGAAGACAGGAGGGCCTGGCGTGATCTGGTCCATGGGGTCGCGAAGAGTCGGACTCGACTGTGCAACTGAACAACAACAACAACAATGTGGTGATACTGAGCTTAACCTAGCCAGAGGCTCTAGAGATGACTGTCAGCAGGTAGCAACCACTGGGGGATATCACACTGCAATAATCCAGTGTGATGGAATCTATAGGTGTACTTCAAGAAATACAATGATAGGCTCCCATGAAGCCAGAGTTTATATCCATGAAGGCGATTGCCTGCTATGTCTCTGTGTGAGCCCATGTTCTAGGACTGCCTTCTTCCAACCACCTCTGCTGTTCTGTCTCTAACAGATTTGCCTGGATCTTTCAAATGGCTGCAACAAAAAAAGACAATAAAATCTTCCAAAAATTAAAACAGCAATCTAATAGCAAGAAGACTTTTTCAGAAGTTTGGGAGATCCTCTCTTTTTCATTGTGTCAGACAACCAGCCATCCACTGTGGCTCTTTTGTGTGTAATACATTGTACAAGTTTTGTGCTCGGTGTTTTAAAAAGAAATTCTAAGTGGCTCCTTCTACGGGCTGCTGCGGGACACAGAGCAAACAATCCTACGCAGGCCTACTCAGAACTAAGACCCATTTTATTCATTGGGGCTGACTCCCAGGAAAATGGTCTTAGTATTTCAGCCAAAGCCTCTTGCTTTCTTCTGGTGAGATCGGGAAGCACTACAATTCCCTTTGGATGTGAACACAAGAGACTCGTGCTGCCTTTTGTAATATCTGTTTTGTTTGAAATCTTACAAATAGTTCATAATGAAAACGAGTAGACTTTTTTTTTTACTGAAGCTACTTGTCCTATATCACATTCCCAGACAGCAACCAAGGGCTGTCCCACCTCCACCCCCGTCTGACTTGCTGTGTCTGTGACCAAATTCCAACTGCCGCCTGCTTTATGGGACTCGACCCCTGCAGCTGAATTGTCTCCTTAGGGGAAAT